TGTTGCTTTGCTACCTTCTGCCTGGGAGCCAGCCAAGTATGGACTGAAACCTCCACAAACTGTAAGCTAAATAAACCTTTCCTTCCTTCATTTTGGACGTTGGGTATTTTGTCTCAGCAACGAGAGAAAAGTAACTAAGACAGATAGCAGCGGAAGTGAAAAAACAAATGAAAGAGGGCATAGAAATGAAAATCTCTAAGGTGCAAAAAGAAATGACTATCAAAATAAAAGACATTAACGCAGACACAGATTGAACAAATAGAAGAACTCAGGAAAATGATAGAAGCCATGAATGCCAAACACAGATAAGAAATGAAAGGCTAGGCGCGGTGGCTCATGCCTGTAACCCCAGCACTCAAGAGGCTGAAGCAGGAGGATCATTGCGAGTTTGAGACCAGCCTGGGCTACAAAGTGAGCTCAAGTCCAGCCTGAGCTGCATACCGAGACCCTGTCTCAAAAAGACAAAAAAAAAAAGAAAAGAAAAGAAATGGAGTCAATGAAACAGATCCAAACAGAAATACAGGAGATTAGAAACTCCACTGAAAGTATATGCAGCAGATTGAATGAGGGTAAGCATAGAATATCAGATCTAGAAGACAGGAACATGACTAGTGATCAGGAAAAGAAAGATATCTTAAAAACTGCAAAAGACTATGAAAAATCAATTCAACAGCTACAGGATAAAGCAAAGAAGAGCAACATAAGATTGATTGGGATCAGTGACAAAGCTGTAGGCAGCACAAAAGCCATTAAAAATCTCTTCACAGAAATAATGGCAGAAAACTTCCCAAACATGGATAAAGACTTTGACATACAAATAAATGAAGCACTCCAAATAGCCATGACCAAAAAAAATCTACACCAAGGCATAGAATAATCAAGATTCCAGAAATTTGGGACAAGAATAAAGTATTAAAAGAAAATAGAGAAAAGAAATATATCACTTATAGAGGAAAGCCCATCAGAATCACAGGAGACCTCTCAGAACAAACCCACAAATCAAGGAGAGGTTGGAGTGAGGTATTTGAAGCCATAAACAAAACAATTTTCAACCCAGATTTATGTACCCCACAAAATTATCTTTCAAAATTGACTGAGAAATAAGATACTTCCATAACAAAGAACAACTGAAGAAATTTATGACATCACACCAGCTGTACAGAATACTCTGAAGGACATATTAGAAAGAGATAACAAAGACCACAAACACATGAACACCAATAGAAAGAAGCTGCTAGGCAAGGCAAGCAATTAAACAGAGAAAAATAGGGAACAAACAACAGGAAAGCAACAAGAAAATGAAAAACCAATACATATCAGTTATAACCATCAACCTAAAATGGTCTCAACTCACCAGTCAAAAGAAACAGAGGGGCAAAATGGATCAAGAAGGAAGATCCAACAATACACTGCACACAAGAAACACGTTTAACCCAAAAAGAAATTTATGGATTAAAAGTCAAATGACGGAAAACAATTCTCCATGCCATACGAACCCAGAAAAAAGCAAGGGTAACTATTCTATCTGTAGACAAAGCAAACTTTGAGCCAACACAGATCAAATGAGACAAAGAAGTTTACTACATACTTGAAAGGGAAAACTCCAAGAAGAAGAGATAACAAACATAAATATTTATGCACCAAACACAGGCTGAGCCAACTACGTAAAACAAATATTAACAGACATGCAAAACCATATAAGCACTAATGCAATTGTAGTGGAAGACCTTAATACCTCACTCACAAAAGTAGGTAGATCAACTAGACAAAAAATCAACAAAGAAATATTAGCATTAAACCAAGCCTGTGAACAAATGGACTTGGTAGATGTCTACAGAGTATTCCACCCAAAAACATCAGCATACACATGCTTCTCAGCTGCACATGGGGTGTGTTCAAAAATAGACCATATAGTACCTAACAAAACATGCTTCAATAAATGTAAAGGAATTAAAATCATCTCATGCATACTACCTGACCATAGCACAATAAAACTAGAAATCAATAACAAAGGAAATCACAAAAACTACATTAACCAATGGAAATTAAATAACACTCTTCTGAACAGCCAATAGGTCACAGAGGAAAAAAGACAAAATTAAACAGTATATACAATTAAATGATAATGTCAAAACAACATACCAAAACTTACGGGATACAATGAAAGCACTCCTATGATGGAAATTTATAGCAATGAACTCACATATCAGGAAAACAGAATGAGCTCAAATAAACAACCTAATATTGAACCTCAAACTTCTAGAAAAAGAAGAATAAATCAAACC